TGAAAACATGTGGTACTCAGTTCTTTGTTTCTGTGATAGACCACTCAGTATTATAGACTCTAAGTTCATCCAAGTTGCTGCGAACTTCATAATTTTTTTCTCTTTATGGCTGTGTAATATTCCATCGTGTATATGTACCACATTTAAAAAAAAATCTAGTTCTCTTTTGATGGGCAGCACGTTTGGTTCCATGTTTTTTGCTACTGTGAATAATGCTGCAATAAACATGCGTGTACAGGTATCTTTTTCATAGAGTGATTTGAGTTCCTCTGGGTGTCTTCCCAGTAGGGAGATTGCCAGGTCATATGGAAGGTCTATTTTTAGATCTTTTAGGAATCACCACACTGTTTCCCACAAAGGTTGTACTAGTTTATACTCCCACCAACAGTGAGGTAGCGTTCCCTTTTTCCCGCATCCTCTCCAGCATCTGTTGTTTTTTGAGTTATTGATGACGGCCATCCTGACTGGAGTTAGGTGGTATCTCAGTGTGGTTTTGATTTGCATTTCTTTGATGACTAGTGAGGCTGAGCATTTTTTCATGTATCTGTTGGCTGCTCTGATGTCTTCTTTTGAGAAGTGTCTATTCATATCTTTTGCCCACTTTGTAATGGGGCTGTTTGTTTTTTTTTCTTTTCGGCACATTTAAGTTCCTTGTGGATCTTAGATGCTAGGCCTTTGTCAGATATACAGTTGGCAAATATTTTTTTCCCATTCTGTGGGCTGTCTCCCCACTCTCTAGATGGTTTCTTTTGCTTTGCAGAAGCTCATCAGTTTGATGAGGTCACACCTGTCTATATTATCTCTTATGGCATGAGCTTTTGGGCTTTGATCAGGAATTTATTGCCTATTCCAATTTCTGGAAGGGTGGCTCCTGCATTTTCTAAGATTCTTATAGTTTGAGGTTTTATGTTTAGGTCTTTGATCCATTTAGAGTTGATTTTTGTGTATGGTAATAGGTAGGGGTCTCGTTTCATTCTTCTGCATGTGATCAGCCAGTTTCCCCAGCACCATTTACTGAATAGGTTCTCCTCTCCCCAGGGGTTGTTGTTGGAGGCTTTGTTAAAGATAAGTTGGTTGAGAAATTGAAGAATTTTTTCTTTATTCCAATAGCTTTAGGGGGTACAAATAATTTTTGGTTACATGGTTGCATTGTATACTGGCAAAGAAATCACGACTTTAAGTACACCCCCCCACCATACTCAATAGGTGATTTTTATCTCATTCTTGTTGATGGATATTTTGGTGGTTTCTAATATTTCTCTGTTATAAATAATGTTGCAATAAACATTCTTGTACATTTATATTTGAGTGTCTGTATGATCACTAGTTCTTTAAAGTGGAATATTTATATATATAAAAATGTGTGGGCATTTAAATTTTTGGTAGATATTGCAGAATAGGCTGACGATCCCAATTTCTCTGAGCCTCAGTGTCGTATTCTGTAACATGGGAGTAGAAATAATACCTGTTTTACAGGGTTGTTGTAAGGATTAAATGAGACAAGATATATGAATAGTATTGCCAGTTGTAACAAATTAAGATGTAGGACTCCAGTTAAGTCCAGTTTTTAGATAAATGGTGATAATATTTTTGTATAAGTATGTCCCAAATACTGCATGGTACATACTTATACTAAAAATGATTTGTTGTTTATTTGAAATTTATATTTAATGGAGTGTCATTTATTTTTATTGATAACCTTATACATGAAGGGTTCAGTACAGTCCCTGGAATGCAGTAAGCACTAAATAAGTGTTGGCCACTATATTTCTTACTACATTGTATTCAGGAACATATTATCATTCAACAAATGTTTTTGGAAATAATGATTATATAATCCTTAATTTACTTATCACTTATTCAGTAAATATTTTACTGAATGCCTACTAGGAACTAGGCATTATTCTAAGTCCTGAGAGTATGGTGGTGAACAAAACAAAGTCTATATGAGCAAGGGAATACTTTGACTATTATAGTGCTGACATGTGCTTGAAAGTAAGGAAGCCACGCTGAGTGGAAGTGAATTTGTTGGTTAATTAGGAGAGGTCAATTTTATTGACCTTTATTATCTTCTGTCTCTAGCACCCCAGCACATTATCTTCTGTAGCTTGTGAGGAAATCCTCTTTTAGGAATCCATGTTACTGATGGGGAACCAGGAGCATTAGAGCAAGAAAAGGATAACAGGAACCTTGCAGAGTCCGTTGAAGGTCCCTCCTCCTGTCCATTAAGCTTCAGCAATGCATACAGTATCTTGCTTAAGGTAAACACTTGGTTTCCAGTCTCTGAAATCAAAAGTGTAATGACATAGAGCCCCGAGAACAGCTGTATCGCTCATGGAGCGCCAGGAGGTGTCAGTTTTTATTGCCTCAGGGTGATGATGAAACCCTGCAATCACCATACAAGCTAAAATCTTTAAAGTTTGGAAATATTTTGAAGATGTAGTTCAAAGTAAAATTTTCTGTCTGCCCCTTTAGTCCTATTGGGATGTCTTATTGATGTTGTTTTGTCATCAGTGGTGGTGGTAGTGGGAAGGACAAGAAAAATGGTTGGATTCAAAATACAGATGATTTAAATTCATTTGTAAGTCTTTATCAGTTTATAAGCTGCTCAGTAAGTTTAGGTATTTCTCTAGCAATGACCCTTAGTGCTCAATAAATATATCTCTGAGTTTCTAGTTAAGTGCAGTAAAATATATATCTGGTAAGATAGAATAGGAGATACCATTTTAATAACTCCTCTCATTGTATTGTACACATTGGTTGTTTTGCAAGTAAATATTCAAATAAGTTAACTGAGACGTTTCACACAGTCTATGGTTTACCAATAACTTTAAGTTATTTTTTGCAAAATTCTAGTTACAAATGTACAGTGTTACTTTCTTCTCTCTAAAATAATTTATTTTACACTTCTTTCTCTGACTCTTCATTCAGTTTCTGATAACATTGTCAAATCATAAAATAACTTTCTGTCATAATCTTACTTTAGAAGGGTTAAGCTCTTCTCATTAGGGTGTGGTCTGCAAATTTGACAGGTGTGTCCGCTTGTCCACTGTGTAGGTTATTGATGACACAGTCGGATAGTGCTAGACTGCGGGGCTACTGCTTGCTGTTTCTCGTACAGTCCTTCTTAAAGCTTACAGTGTGCAGACAGGAAGACTAAGAGTTTGGAAATAAAACTTAATATCATCTCAACCTCATGCTGAACTAGACGCACTTTGAGTAAAGACTCTGGACAATTCAGTAGCAGCACCATTTTCATAAATAAAGACACAATATCTTTCTCCATCCATTCATGTCTACTTCTACTGAGGTACCGTATGCTGAGAAATGTCACTAAGGTTCCAAAGGAGGTATCCCCAGGAGAAACAAACCAGTACATAATCTATACCTGTAAAAATAAATAAAATAAGATTTAGAAGGCTTCCTGGGTTCTCCCATTGTCATCAAACTAGATAAAGTACAGAAAAGTATGGCATTGGAAAAATGACTGAATTCTGGCTAGAGATGAAAACTGCTGTGATTGAAAATTTTCCAGAACAACATGTACTTGGATCTGTATTAAAGAAAAATTCTTTGAGTGTTTAAGCCAAATGATCCAGTGGAGTTGATAGTGTGAGGCATATTTCACAGTTGTGTAAATATTTAAAACTGTTTTCCAGCCTATAAAACAAGTAAATTAGGATATTTTTTTTAAAATTGCATAATGAAATTAACCTGCTCACTTGTTGGGGACACCTGCCATACTCTTCCTGGTCTTTTCTCCTAAAGGGAATCTCTGAGAAAAAAGTGTGATGGAGGCTTCCAACTTGGAAAACATTTCAGAGAATGTCAGAAGGGAGATTAGCATCATGGTATACTGCCACAGGTGGTCTCCTTCCAGAGGGCCAGTCTGGTTTTGGGCAGCTCTGACTAACTTGTCACTAGGGGCCAGATCCAATGGACACAATAGCTTTTCATCATAAACCCCTTTTGAACTTGGTGAAGGGTGGGCTTGGGGCTCCATTCTATGCACAAGCTTTACAGAAAGCAGTGCAGCACAATGGCCACACTGTTGTCTATTCTGAGCTGCTAGGCTTAGCATGTTAGAATGTCACTGAGCCTGTCCTTCAGTCTCAGTGCTGGTTTGCAGGTGGTCTTTCTCATTCAGTCTTCCAAGGCTTCTTTTATCACTCATTGTTGTTCTTGCACTTTCCAAAATTTTAATTTCTTTCCCCACTTACTTGCATGTTAGTACCTTAGCGACTCTCCCTTGCCACTGCCTCCTCCTTCACTTTTTGCTTCCACTTAAATAGATTTCTGAGGCAATGGTAGTGATGTTTCTGGTTTTTTTTTTTTTTTTTGAGTTGGAGTCTCAATCTGTCACCCAGGCTCAAGTGTAGTGGAACGCTCACAGCTACCGCAGCCTCAACCTGTTGGACTCAGGAGATCCTTCAGCTTCAGCCTTCCAAGTAGCTGGAACTATATGCGTGTGTCACCATACCCAGCCAATTTTTTGATTTATTGTAGAGAGGAGGTTCTTGCCAAGTTGCCCAGGCTGGTCTCAAACCCCTGGGCTCAGGCAGTCCTCTTGCCTTTGCCTCCCAAAGTGCTGGGATTGCATGCATGAGCCACCGTGCCTGGAGATGTTTCCATATTTATTCATAAAGAGTTGGACAAGAATATAAGTGTCCGAATGTATTGATTTCATAGCTGCTGCATAAAGCTGGCACCATGGGGTGGTAAAAAGAGCAGTCAGCCAAGAGTTATCCAAGAGTTTAGCTCAGGGGTATCACTAACTCACTGGTTATCTTTGGGCAAATGACTTAACCTCTCTGGGCCTTTGTTCCTACATTGCTCAGGTAATATAATTTTATTATGTAAGACCTCTTTGAATTTAATATTCTGGGAAAGTCTTGTCTGTTTTTTCTATTATATGATAATACATTGTGAATACATTCTCTTGATTATATTTGTGATTCTTCTCCATTCTCGAAAAAATATTGATTTGTTTTTGTTCTTAGACTACAGAAAGAAAAATGGATGAATGTCAAAGTGGGAGACATCATTAAATTAGAAAATAACCAATTTGTTGCTGTGAGTATTCAATATTGTTTAAAGAATTTATCTCAGATTAAAATAGCATATATACTGAAGTTTTTACATTTGCAAATTTAGTAAATTTGTACTAAATGAGAGTAATTAAATAATTAAGGAAGGAATATGAGTAAAAAGTAGAAAGTCTCAATTATAAATTGTTTTAAAAAACATTGACTTATCACTTTCATAACATGGTAACTCAGATAAGACTGAGTGATCATCACCTTGTCTGTTTCCTTAGGGATCTTTTAAATTAATAGGTACATAAAATTTTAAATCAGGATGTCAATCATTTTATGTAAATAAGAATTATTTTTTATTTAAAAATTTATTTTATTTTATTTTAAAGATGTGGGGTACAATTCAGGATTAGGTATACGAGTGGTCATCACACAAGTGAAGTTTGGGCCTCCCTTTGGTCCCTACTTCACTGAATTTGAGATTAGGTACCCTTATTGATGTTGTGTTCCCCCACTTCCCTCCCCTGGCAGTATCCCACTACTGCCAATTGCTTTCTTTTCTTTTCTTTTTTTATTTTGAATTGGAGTGCCACTCCTCCGCCCAGTGGCACGCGCACTCACGGCTACCCCAGCGTCGACCTTCTGGGTTCCAGCGATCCTTGGCTTCAGCCTTCTGAGTAGCCGGAACTACAGAAGCGCGCTACCACACCTGGCTAGTTTAATTTATCGTAGAGACAGGTCTCGCTAACTTGCCTGTGCTGGTCTCGAACCCGCGGGCTCAGCCAATCCACTAGCTTCAACCTCCCAAAGTGCTGGGATTACAGGCTGAGCCACCGAGCCCGACCCCAATCCCTTTCTTATTATGGTAAATGTTCAGGGTCCGCTTATGAGTGAGAACATGTGGTACTTAGTTCTGTGTTTCTGTGTTAGATCACTGAATCCATCCAAGTTGCTGCAAAGCCCGTCTAAATCCATTCAAGTTGCTGCAAAGCCCATATGTTTGTCCTTTTTTAATGACTGTGTAATATTCCATTGTGTATATGTACCACATTTTTTTTAATGTCCAGTCTAGTTTTTGGTAGGCAGAACAGTTGGTTCCATGTTTTTGCTATTGTGAATAGTGCTGCAATTAACATGTGTGTGCAGATATCTTTTTTGTAGGATGATTTGAGTTCCTCCGGGTATATTCCCAGTAGGAGGATTGCTGGGTCATATGGAAGGTCAATTTCTAGTTCTTTTAGAAATTGCCACACTGTTTTCCATAGAGATTGAACTCGTTTGCATTCCTACCAGCACTGTAGAAGCATTCCCTTTTCTCCGCATCCTTGCCAGCATCTTTGTTTTATTCATGAGGGCTGTTGTAAATAAGAATTTTTACAATGCTTCTGAGTACTTTAAAAAGCTTATTCTATATATCTTGTGACTGATACTGTTAATATCATGAGTAGTATTGTTGATTTGCAGTATATTTGAGGAAAACATAGACTGAAAAAGAAAAAAGGTATGCTCCTTCCTGAATAATCAGAAAATGTTTATTGTGCTGAGTTAATGAGATCTTACTTTGTATAGCAAATGCACTATGATTTATGTTCTCAATCTTTCTTGTTACAATTTCCCTAATAAAGCTCTAGAGGTCAGTTCAATCACTAAAATATATATAACTAACTATAGTTCAAATTAAGAGTGACGCAAGTATCCAGATCAGAGATTAAAAATTCAACTTATTGTGGGGTTAATGTCAAATATATGTTAGATTACTTCTGGTATTTTTTGTGCTGAGTGAAATTTTGTATATCAAGTTGTGTACTTGATTAAATTGAGACATTTTACCACAGGAAAAAATATGACCCCAAGACCTATTTCTAAGAAGAACAATTCAGTTAAGCCTCTTTTTTTTTTGAGTTGGAGTCTCACTCTGTCGCCCAGACTGGAGTGCGGTGGCTGCTCCTGGCCACCGCAGCCTTGACCTGCTGGGCTCCGGCGATCCTTCTGCCTCAACCTTCCAAGTAGCCGGAATTACAGGCATGCACTACCATGACGGGCTGATTTTTTGATTTATTGTAGAGATGAGGTCTCACCTGCCCTGGAGGGTCTTTAACCCGCGGGCTCAGGCAATCCACTCACCTCAGCCTCCCAAAGGCGCGGGATTACAGGCTGAGCCACCGAGCCCGGCTCAGTTAAGACTCTTAAGCATTCACTTTCAGAAACAATCTTCTTTCATTAATGCACCATCTGGGCATACTAAGTTGTCCGGAATGGCCCATGCTAAGGAGGCTACTCAGTGGACAGGCTGTTCACAAAAGAGTTCACACTTTTCAGAAGTATGCAGTTCTCTGGCAACCTCTGTGCTTTGGAAAGTAGCTGGGAAGTAAAAATAAGCAAAAAGTTGTCAGGGCAGCCAAAACAGAGATCTCTAAGATCTGGCATGGACTCCTTATATGTAGAACATTCTGACAGGTTATCACTCACAATCTATTTATTTCTATTTTAGACACAACTTAAATTAGCTTGTCTAGATTATTTTTCTGTTCAATAAAGACTAGGAACAATACCCTGGAAGGTAGTGTCTGTTAGAAGAACACATCCTCTGGATATAATCAAGGCAAGGGCACTGAATGGCAAATCGGTTAGAACTGAGTTTTTGCTCCATTCTGTCAGTGACAGCAAACACTTTATCTTCAGTTTTTTCATGTGTCAAATCAAGGTGCTAGATCACTACAGAATCTCAAAGACCTCTTCTATGCTGTGATTCTGTGTCTAAGCTGACATTAGAGTACAAAAAATTCTTGAAGGCAAAGTGCATATTGATTTGCCTGGTCTCTAATACCTAGTGCCGTCTTGTATCATAGGGGCATTTAGTAAATATTGGCTGAATTTAATAAATATCAATCTTTTTACAGAAATAAGACAGAAAAAAATGAAGATTGGATGTAAATTTTTAAAACTCAGGGTGTTCCGGATCAATGGCACACCAGTAAACAAATGTTTATGCCCCAATTAAATGAAGATTGCGTATATATTCAGGATTCTTTGAGGAGAAAGGACTCCATATAACTCATTTGAGTTCTACTTTCAATTAAAATGATTACAGCGAAAGAGTTTTGGTACTTCTAAGTAGATTACCTTAACCTTTTTTTTTTTAACTGACATTAAAAAACATTTTAAGATGTTTGCATTCAGATATTTTGGCAACTACTTTATGCCAGTTGTTGTTAGATTGTAGAGCAGTTAACATAAACTGAAAATGTTACATATTTAACTATCATTTTACTTAGAATTGAGTGTTTTAGGGGCAATAATAGGTAAGTTTCTACTTCAGGTATTCAGTAAAAACAATGCGCCTTAAGAGCCCCATGGATATCCTGTGACAAAGGTAAGCACTGGACTCGACTCACTTGTTCACTAATACTATAATATGTTCACTTATCAGATTCTTAGGGGTGAGTTCAGAAAAGCAGGATTCAAATCTGTGTCTCAAGCTTTGTGGAACCTTATGGCCAGCCTATCTGTACGTCTTACTCTTCTAGCCTTGATATTCTAATTTGTATTTCCCTTGGTCTTTGATTTACTTATATTTTCTATATTATATAGTATGTATGGTTTGCTATTGCAAAAGCTCTGGTGTGATGAGATACAGAAAGCAAGTCCAAGTGCCAGTATCAGGTAGAAGAAAATCAGTTCCGTAGGTGCATTGTTAGCACTGATTCAAAAATGAATCACTCATTTAGACAAGTTCCCATTAAGTCAGTGATCAATATGTTCTAGCGTTGTCCAATAGAACTTTTTGCAATGAAGGGAATGCTCTATATAGCTAATGCAATGGCTAGTAGCTGTGTGTGGCAACTGAGCACTTGACATGTGGCTAGTACAACTGAGGAACAGAATTTTAAATTTTAATTAATTTAGATTTAAGTAGCTATTATGTGATGTGAGGCTACTATATTAGACAGTACAGATGTGGTTTAGTGTGGGGTGAGAATGCTTATTGTCCACTCTTTCCTAGCTCCTGCTTCTCCTGTTTTCATTTCAAGGGACAAGACCAACATCACACTTTTACTATTTTACACTCCTTTGCTCACTCTTCTCTCCTTGGAGTGACTTCTCTGGTTGTTGAGTTTGGGGACAGAGAATGGTGTGCATGACCTGGGTGGTGCATCCTTCCTTCCCATTCTCTTTAGGCTGCACCTGTGAGCAGAAAGTCCATTCTACTCTGCTCTTCCATGCTAACAATTTTACAAGAACAAGTCCCTGTGGTGGGGTAGTAGGAGGGCTAAGATGACTTAGAGCTTCTAGTGTCTGTGGCTCAATGAGTCTGTCTAACAGGGATGAAGTATTAGCAAGCCCATTTGACCCACAAACCTAAAGCCTGGTTTTTAGCAGTTATAACAACTTTATCAATAAAAAGGTGATATGTTTATCTCTATTTCTGTTTCTTCTATAACTATAGTTCTGTTGGTTTAATCTTTGGATAGGTGAGGATAGGTGTCCTCCAAATCCCAAATCTCTGCGGCGTCTCCTGATTAGATAATTTTGTTAAAAGTTTCTCCATATTTAGCTACTCAGCATCTACAAAACCATTTTCAAGGGCAAACACAGTTTTTGTAGGTGAACTACTATCAATCACTTAGGTGTACTAACATATTTCCTGGCTCTCTGCTAGAAGTTGGCAGGGGCTGACCGAGTTTATGTTGTCAGATGGGAACAACACTTATAAGTCTCTGAAAGAGACCCAATTAGGAGTTATACTGAGGTAGATTTAGGGGAACCAGATCATGAAGGTAATAGTAATATTAGCTATTGACTATGGTACACATGCCAGATAATCTTATAAGTACATTATATGAATTAACTCATTTAGTCCTCACATTAGCCCAGTGAGGACTGGCTATCATTACTGTAGCCATTTTACAGATGAGAAAACAGAGGCACAGTGTCATCAAATAGCATGTCATTGGGAGAGTCAGGAGTTAAGTTCATGCTTCCTGGCTCCAGTGCCCCCATTCCTAACCACAACCGTCTGCTGTTCCTGACCCCACT